TTAATTCAACAAATTTCTTGTTGTTTGGTCGCTTAGTTGTGTCCAACTCTTTGGTGACCCCATGGACTGTGGCCCACCAGGCTCCTCTGCCCACGGGATTCTCCAGGCAAGAATACTGGAGTGTCTTTGTCATTTCCTTCTTCAGGGGATCTTACAGACCCAGGGATCAAACCCACATCTCCTGCACTGGCACGTGGACTCTTTACCATCTGAGCCACCAGGGAAGCTTAGTTCTAAGAACTATGCTGGGGATAGCAATGAGCAAAGTGGACAAAAATGCATGTCTTTAAGAAACTTTCAGTCTAAAAGAGGAGGAGTGAGAACATAATAAGATAAAGATAAAGCAAAATATACAGCATGTCAAAGGAGAGATAATGCTTTGGAGAAAAAGCAGAGGAGGAGGATTAAGAGTGATGAGAACTGGATACACCACTCAAGATGGCAGTCAGTGAAGCCTTCAATGAAAAAATAATATCCAGGTGAGGAGCTGAAGGTTAGGGAGTAAAGCCCATCAAAACCTGGGAAAAGCAAGCAGAAAAAAACAGTACCTGCAGAGACCTCAGGCAGAAATAGGCTGAGGAAGTTGTGGCTGCAGCAAGGTCAGTAGGAAGTGGAACAGAGTAGAAGGATGCTGTCAAGAGAAAATGGGGGTTTGGGTTGGGTTGGTGCCACAGGGAGGTGGCAGTGGTTAAGAGGTCCAGTGGTTAAGACTCTGTGCCTCCAATACAGGGGACAAAGGTTCAGTCCTTGGTCAGGAAATTAAGATTCCACACGCTGCTTGGCACAGCCTATACACATATATATACATAGACGTATACATACACGCTCATGTGTGTGTGTGTATATATATATATATGTGTGTGTATACATATATATATATATATATATATATATATATATATAAAAGAGAGGAAGAAGAATGCCACAAACTGGATTATATTTTATCATAATCTCTACCAAAGGGCTTCCCTGGTGGCTCAGTTGGTAAAGAATATACCTGCAATGCAGGAGACCCTGGTTCGATTCCTGGGTTGGGAAGTTCCCCTGGAGAAGAGACAGGCTACCCACTCCAGTGTTCTTGGACTTCCCTTGTGGCTCAGATGGTCGAGTCCACCTGCAATGCAGGCGACCTGGGTTTGATCCCTGGGTCAGGAAGACCCTCTGGAGGAGGGCATGGCTACTCATTCCAGTATTCTTGCCTGGAGAACCCCATGGACAGAGGAGCCTGGTGGGCTGCAGTCCATCAGGCTGCAGAGTAGGACACGAATGAGCCACTAAGAATGGTACACGTAGCACCGAAAGGGGAACAAGTAGGGTTTGATGATGGTTCTATTTTGAAGCAGAATCACAGAATTTGCTGATGGAATGGGTTTGGGATACGTATGGAAGAGAAAGAAGACTGATTCCAGGAATTTTGGCATAAGCAAGAATAGCGTGACAAGTAATTAACATGAGGAAGAACTGTGAGTTGGTCAGGCTGGAGGGGAAGACCAGGAACTTAGTTTTGGAGCTGTTAACTTCAAATACTTATTATGCAAGGAATTACAGATGTCGATTAGGCAACTGAATATACAAAGTCTAAAGTTCCAGCCCAAGGTCTAGGAAGATCCTTATTTGAGAATTTACAGTCTTAAGTCTGATGACATCATTAAGGGAGTTAAGTATAGAAAGAAAAAAGAAATTGTCCCTGGCTTGAGCCACTTATCTGTCAGAAGTCTAGGAGATGAGGAACATAAACTACTTGTCAGAAACAGGGTTAAGAAAGAATTTGAAAACACAATTTTTCGAAACTCAAATTACTGTATGACCCAGAAATCCTACTCCTAGCAATGTACCTATGATAAAGTGGAAACAATGTCCATATCAAAACTTGTATACAAATGTTCACAGCAGCATTATTCACAATAATATAAAAAACCAGAAACAATCCCAAATATCTATCAACTGATAAATGGATAAACTGTTGTATGGATACAGAGTGAAATATTGTTTGGCCGTGAAAAAATAAAGTACTAGTAAGTACTACAGGTGAACTTTGAAAACAACATTTATGTGAAATGTCCAGAATAGACAAACCAATAGAGACAGAAAGAAGAATTATGCTTGAGGTTAGGGAGGAATGAGTACAGGATTTCTTTTTGGAGCAATGAAAATGTGATAAAATTGACTGTGTTGATGACTGGATGACCCTGAGTATAATGAAAAAACCATACATACACTTTAAATGGATGACTTGCATGATAGGTGAATTATATGTCAATAAAGCTGATGCAATAACCAAAACCACAAACAACCACACCCACCCCAACCGGAGAATTCACAAAACAGAACTGGTTACTCTTGTATACTTTATTGATGATGCTCACCCCAAATCTAAAACTTCTCTTCCATGCATTATGATAGTAAACTTACAAAGTGAAAGTTAACTGTAGAAAATCTACAAAGATGAACAAAATATATAAGGAAGAAAATTAAAAATCATCCATAAATCCACATCCTTTCAAGCTTCAGGTGATTCCTTTTTAATCATTTCCCCCCCTGCTTGCTTACATTTATTCTGGTCAAAATAAAACTGAAACCATACTATATTACATTATATGGCTATACCACATATATCTATTCTTCTAATTTGAAGAAATTTAAAAAGTTTCTACATGTTTACTATTACAAACAGTCCTTTAGCTGAATCTCTGAATAACTCAATTTGAGAAGAACAAATTTCTAGAAATGCAATTGACTTTGTTAAAATATGTGAATATTTTTTTAACTCTTAAAATACTGCCTTCCAGAAAGGCTATACCAATTTATCCTCTCATCAACAGTGCAAGGGGACACAATTTACCACAAATTGAACTAGTTCTTGTCAGTTTAAAATTTTTTACCAATGTGCATGAAAAAATATTATCTTATTTAATTTGGGACACATTTCTTAATAGTGATAAACTTATTTTCATATTGACATCTTTTGTAAACTGCCAGCTTACATCCTTCTTTGCTCTTCTGGGATATTAGTCATTTTCCTACAGTTTTACTTTGAGAATGCTTTTATGTATTCCTCCTTCTATCATAAATAACATTTTGTCATTCGTATTTTAAGTTTGGTGATGGTGGCTTTGACTTACCAAAATTAAAAGATTGATGCAAATGACTCAATCTTTTCATTTATGAATAATTTTTATTCTAGAAAAGAAACTCTTTCCCCAAACTGGTGAGAAAATGGTCATCAAGCTTTCTTTCTAACAGTTTCTGTTCTTTATTTTTCTTTGCAACATTTACTAAGTATTTAACACATGAATGCAGAGTGCTAATAGTTTTAAATATACTAGCTCACTGAATCCTCATAATCACCCTACAAGAGATCTTTTATCTTTCTCATCGTTTTCCAATGAAGGGAAGATTAAATTATATGACTAAGGTAACCGCAAATAAGATGCAGAACAGAAATTTAAAGTTAAAGCAATATAAAGCCATATTTGTTCCACTGTGCTCATATCCATAATAAGACATTTTAATAGAGCTATGCTTGGCTACTCCAGTACTCTTGCCTGGAAAATCCCATGGACGGAGGAGCCTGGTAGGCTGCAGTCCACGGGGTTGCTGAGTCGGACACGACTGAGCGACTTCACTTTCACTTTTCACTTCCATGCATTGGAGAAGGAACTGGCAACCCACTCCAGTGTTCTTGCCTGGAGAATCCCAGGGACAGGAGCCTGGTGGGCTGCCGTCTATGGGGTCGCACAGAGTCGGACACGACTGAAGCGACTTAGCGGCAGCAGCATGCTTGGCTGTAGGGTTCTCTCATTATATCCTCACCAGAGAAACAACAGCCAGTGACTAAAACATGTAACTCCTTAAGTTCTATAAATTGAAGTTCAATAGTTGCTGAAGTTAAATAAGTCCTGGTCCACACCCTTGAATCAACTTAAATACATTTTGTTCTATGTTTTTTTACAATAATATTGTGGGTGTCTCTATGTGAAAGTATGATAAACATGCCACTTGGCTTTTGAACACAGACCAAGTTGGTGTTTTTCTGTAGAACCAGACTAAAATAGATTTTATTAGCTCCACATGATAAAAGAAAAAGATCTACTGAGTAACTTTCAAAGAATGCACTACAATGATAAACTTTGTAGTATTTGTAATCAATGCCCTCTCTCATTTAGTTTTTCTTTTGCTCATGTAGATAAAACTGCTCACAAACTAGTGCTTAAATAAAAATACACCAGATTCTTGATAATATTCCTCCTCTCAATGAGTATTAAAAATGTCTTATTTTACTTTATTTAAATTGCCCTGTTTTATTTATGTTATTATTGTAAGCATTCTCAAATTCTTTTTGAAAATAGGCAAAGAATAAATAGTATTCATTACAATTAATGTTGCTCAAAGCTATTCAAAGTTATTCAGCAAATTCCTCTGACTGAATTTAGCAAAGTACTATGGTATAATTTTAAGTGTGCTGTTCAACACAATGTAAAATTATGTAGACTGATATTACCTAAGTTCAAAAGAATGAATTAGATGCTGAACACATAATACTTTACCACAAATTGGGACTGGAACACAGCATTATATTTTAACCCCTTATTTATAAGCTTTTGTGACAAATAAGTTGTGTCTAGAACACTAGCCTTCTTGTAAGACTTTATATCCAACTAAATCTTAATGATTCCTTCTTCAATCTCAAAGTCTATCTCAAAAGAAGACATTAATACTTGATTGATTTTTAAGATTGATTTTATTCTGTTAATAGAGGAATTACAAGTTCACATAATTATACCCTTCATATTCTGCTCTGTACATGTTAATAAAAATAAAGCAGTGCCTTATGGATTTGGGTTGTATTTTATTGTGACTTTGATAATTCAACTAAAAATTTGATTTACAAAATTTACAAACGGTAATAGTTTTCCAGAGTCCTATTTAAACTTCCAGAGTTAAGCTATTACGGATTCCTGGCTTTGGTTTGTTGTGAACCAAACAAAAATTGTTCTTACCTTTACACCCTGAATGAGACCATTCATGAGGAATGTGTGTTGAGGAAATGTTTCATGTAGAACCTACAAAAAGCAAACAAACATCAAGAAAAATTCTAAAGTAAATGAAAGGGAAGATTTCTGACTCTTGTTAATGGCAGACTAGGTAACTAAACCCTGAAATGAAAAATATTAAGGAATAATGAAACATGGAAAATGTCTTAAAGGTATGAAAAGGTAACAAGATAGTGAGGCAAAAATCTAAATAAAGAACCTAATAAGATATGCCCAAGATTCAGCTGCTTTTGCTACAAAAGCACAAACAATTTAAAGGTATACTGCAAAGAGTTACTCAAACTCAGTTATGAACCTGCAGCCCAGCTTCATGTTATGTACATAGCCCAGGAAACCTCAAACGTTAAATTTGGATTATACTGATCTACACTGGTAGCCTCTCCAGATGTTTAGAAGAAAAAAAATCTAAAGTTATTTCTGAAAAGGCAGTCATCACCCAGGCTTCACATCAACCACACATGTACTTTCTCAAATATAATGACAAGGACATAATCAAAGGCAATCAGATACAAAAGAAAATAAGACACCATGAAAAAGAAAACAGCAAACAATACATAACAAATACTTAAAGACCTCACGTTTTGGAATTATTTAACAGACTTTGAAATCAGCATGCTTACTGTGTTACAAGACATATAAAGTAAGCTTGAAACGTTGCAGCAAGTTAAAAGAACAAAAAGAAAGTCTAGAACAGAAAAAATTAAAAACTCAATGCATATGTTTAACAAGATTATATTCTTTGCAGCTAAAGATGGAGAAGCTCTATACAGTCAGTAAAAACAAGACCAGGAGCTGACTGTGGCTCAGATTATGAAAGAAAGTAGGGAAAATGACTAGACCATTCAGGTATAACCTAAATCAGATCCCTTATGATTATACAGTGGAAGTGAGAAATAGATTTAAGGGACTAGATCTGACAGACAGAGTGTCTGATGAGCTATGGATGGAGGTTCATGACACTGTACAGGAGACAGGGATCAAGACCATCCCCATGGAAAAGAAATGCAAAAAAGAAAAATGGCTGTCTGAGGAGGCCTTACACATAGCTTTGAAAAGAAGAGAAGCAAAAAGCAAAGGAGAAAAGGAAAGATATTCCCATTTGAATGCAGAGTTCCAAAGAATAGCCAGGAGAGATAAACTAGTAAAGTAATGCTCAAAATTCTCCAAGCCAGGCTTCAGCAATATGTGAACCGTGAACTTCCAGATGTTCAAGCTGGTTTTAGAAAAGGCAGAGGAACCACAGATCAAATTGCCAACATCTGCTGGATCATTAAAAAGCAAGAAAGTTCCAGAAAAACATTTATTTTTGCTTTACTGACTATGCCAAAGCCTTTGACTGTGTGAATCACAATAAACTGTGGAAAATTCTGAAAGAGATGGGACTACGAGACCATCTGACCTGCCTCTTGAGAAACCTATACACAGGTCAGGAAGCAAAAGTTAGAACTGGACATGGAACAACAGACTGGTTCCAAATAGGTAAAGGAGTACGTCAAGGCTGTATACTGTCACTCTGCTTATTTAACTTATATACAGAGTACATCATGAGAAACACTGGGCTGAAGAAGCACAAGCTGGAATCAAGATTGCTGGGAGAAATAACAATAACCTGAGATATGCAGATGACACCATCCTTATGGCAGAAAGTGAAGAAGAACTAAAAAGCCTCTTGATAAAAGTGGAAGAGGAGAGCAAAAAAAGTTGGCTTAAAGCTCAACATTCAGAAAACTAAGATCATGGCAACTGGTCCCATCACTTCATGGCATATAGATGGGGAAACAGTGTCAGACTTTATTTTTCTGGGCTCCAAAATCACTGCAGAGGGTGACTGCAGCCATGAAATTAAAAGACGCTTGCTCCTTTGAAGGAAAGTTATGATCAACCTAGACAGCATATTAAAAAGCAGAGACATTACTTTGCCAACAAAGGTCCGTCTTCTCAACGCTATGGTTTTGCCAGTGGTCATGTATGGATGTGAGAGTTGGACTATAAAGAAAGCTGAGTGCTGAAGAATTGATGCTTTTGAAGTGTGCTGTTGGAGAAGACTCTTGAGAGTCCCTTGGACTGCAAGGAGATCCAACCAATCCATCCTAAAGGAGATCATTCCTGGGTGTTCATTGGAAGGACTGATGCTGAATCTGAAACTCCAATACTTTGGCCACCTCATGCCAAGAGTTGACTCATTGGAAAAGACCCTGATCCTGGGAGGGACCGGGGGCAGGAGGAGAGGGGTACGACAGAGGATGAGATGGCTGGATGGCATCACCAACTTGATGCACATGAGCTTGGGTGAACTCCGGGAGTTGGTGATGGACAGGGAAGCCTGGCATGCTGCGACTCATGGGGTCGCAAAGAGTCGGACACGACTGAGCGACCGAACTGAACTGAACTGAACTGAAACACAGTTTGAGAGAGAATAACTGAACCAAAGGTAGGTCAAGAGAAGTTTCCAGAATGTAGCAGAGACAAATAGGATATAAGAGAGAAAGTAAGAGACACAGAGGATCCAATAAGAAAGTCTAACAATTTAATCTAGTCCAGTAATAACAGTGAGGCAGAGACAATATTTTAGAAACCAATGACTGGGAATGTACTTGAATCAATGACAGACATCAATGAAGAGATTAAAGCAACCTATCAAATTTTAAGCAGTATAAAAACAAATCCACATTTGCAATCAAATTTAAATATAGAGAATATTAAAAAATTCTTTAAAACAGAAATAACAGATTACTTTCAAAGGAACAACAGTTAGATTGTTTCTTAAGATTAACATTTTTGAACTGAGACAAGGAGCATGCTATTCTATCATCAGTATAGTAAGAAAAATAAAACAAATGCCAACCTAAAATTGTATACTCAGTTAAAATGTCCTCTGACTCAAAGGCAAGTATCAATAGTTTTAGATTTGGCAAAAACAAGTTTACCAACTTATAGTAATGAGTTTACTAACTTATAGACTCTACTAATGTTAAAAAAAAAAAAAAAACTTCTAGGAGAAGGTAAATGATGGAGGTATAATTAAGGTTCAAATGCAAAATAAAATAAAGATCATGGAAAATGGTATATAAGTGGACAGGGATTATACAAAACAAAAATAATGGGTCTTATAGTTTTTATTTTCAACTATACAGAAGTAAAATATTTAATCAGATTTTACATAGAGTAGTGTGTACATGACCATGTAAAATGGATAGCCGACAAAGACCTGTTGTGTAGCTCGTGGAACTCTGCTCAATGTTATGTGCTTGCCTGCATGGTGGGGAGCTTTGAGGGAGAATAGATACACGTATATGTATGGCTGAATCCTTGCACTATTCTCCTGAAACTACCAGAACATTGTTAATCAGTTGGCTATATGCCAATACAAAATAAAAAGTTTGAAGTTTGAAGTAAAAAAAAAAAAAAAAACTTAGAGAAGGAAATGACAACCCACTCCAGTATTCTTGCCTGCTAAATCCCATGGCAGAGGAGCCTGGTGGGCTATACAGTTCAAGGGCTCACAAAGAGGCAAACAACTCTTTGTGACCAAACAACAAAAACAAAATACTTAATAGTATTAATTTACCTCACTTATGCTAATATGCAGGACATCCTAAAGGAATCTTTAAGGAAATCAACCCTGAATATTCATTGGAAGGACTGATGCTGAAGCTGAAGCTCCAATACTTTGGCCACCTGATGCAAAGAGTCAACTCACTGGAAAAGACACTGATGCTGGGAAAGACAAAAGGGAAAAGGAGAAGAGGGAGGCAGAGGATGAGGTGGTTGGACAGCATTACTGATTCAATGGAAATGAACTTGGGCAAACAATGGGAGACAGTGAGAGACAGGGAGGCCTGGCATGCTGCAGTCCATGGGGTTGCAAAGAGTTGGACATGACTTAACAACTGAACAATAACATGTTAATATTATACAAAATTAAAGTGATTGATTAATAGTAGACTTTGATAAGTTTACATGTAATGCTATAGAAACCACAAAAATAACAGGAATACAGTAGAATACTTCTAATGTAATAGAAAAAAAATTAGCCTAACTACTCAATGCAAATAAAGGCAAAAAGGAACAAAATGACAACTTAGAACTGTAGTACATAGAAAAAAATAATGAGGTAATTGAATTCACATAGCCTTAATATACCAGTTAAAAGGCAAAAAAAGTGTAGCCTAAAACCAAATTTTAGACAGAATCTGAATCACAGGATTTGGAACCAAAAGATCACATCATTCATACTGCGTTGGCCAAAAAATTCCTCCAGTTTTTAAGTAAAAATAAAAGACAGATTTTTCATTTTGCCAAGACCTTTATTGAATAATGTATTCACCATTTTCTTCTGCCATTTTCCAGGCAACTTCGTAATTCTATCTTGCCTAAACTTTTTATCTTTTTGAGCAAAGAACTGTTCCAGGTGGCTTCTATAGTCTTTTAGGGAATTCAAATTGTTTTACATTAAGAGAATTTTGTATAGACTGAAATAAGTCAAAATCTAAAAGTGCAGTGTCTGGTGAACACAGTGGATGAATCAGAACTTCCCAGCCAAGTTATAACAATTTTTGCCTGGTCATCAAAGAAACATGCATTATCCTGATGGAAGATCATGCATTTTCTGTTGACTAATTTTGGATGCTTTTCATTGTGTGCTTTCAGTTGGTCTCAATGGGTGCAGTACTTGCTGGAATTAATTGTCTGGTTTTCCACATACAGCCCCTAAGAAAGGACTTCCTACCAATCCTGCCATATACATGACATCACCTTCTTTGGATGAAGACCAGCCTTCAGTATGGTTGGTGGTGGTTCATTTCATTTGCTCAGCAATCTTTTCCATTTCACATTATTGTACAGTATCCACATTTCATTGTCCATCACAATTTTAAAAACTGGTACATTTTTTTACATTTAAGTAAAGAATCCTGTGTGAAAACACAGTCAAGAAGGGTTTTTCTTTTGCTTAACTTATGTGGAACCCAAACATCAAAGTGACTGACATAACCAAGCTGGTGCAAATGATTTTCAGCGCCTGGTTTG